ATATATATGTGTAAAGAAAAATTAATAAACTGGACAGGAATATTTTGGCTCATTAAGCTGCATTATCATATTTTATAGTAGCGATGTTACTAAGATGCCCACACAAACCGGAAGCAGTTATTTCAGGCGCTCTCGATCCTGGATTACCTAAATGTCAAACGACCAAGGAAGTCATGCTTTTTATGCTTTTTTTGCATTTATGTAGTGCAAAAACGCATATTGTGAAGGGATTGTCTGTCTATGCGTATGCGCGCCTGGGCCGAGTTCTCATCTCGAGACCTACAAAAGCTACAAGGCTGAAACTTTAGCATCTACACGCATGCACGAGCTGCTGTCCCCATAATGGACGCTTTTGCTTACGTGATTCTCAAGCATTAGCCCGTGAAAACTTTCGGCGGGTAAGTTGCGAACTTGGAAATCAGAAAATCTAGATAGCTAAAATTTTAAGGCGATGTTTTCTGACAGTTTTGGTGGCCAGTCTCAATTCTTCTAGCTAGAAGCATCTGTTGGAAAAACATTACCTTTGACGACAAAAACTTGCGAGAGGACTGTTCAAAAACATTTGTTCGCACCAGCGATCGGCGCGCTGGCAAATTAATTATTCTTAGAAATCAAGGCCAGGTTTTTCAGTAGCATTACTAGTATTTCCAAGGGAAAGTAAAAAATTGGCGTCCTCCACCCCGGCGCTAATAGCTCTTGAAATTTTTAGTGGTTGGAACCAATCGCTAACCGTCAAGATTTGTTCTGTGAGAAGACAGTTCCTGGCGGCGACATCACGATGAATGCACTTTTTTTCTTCGAGATATTTCATTCCTGCAGCTGCCTCCTTCGCGAAGCGATATCGAGTCGCAATTCCCATGTGCGCTCCCTTCTTCCGCAGATACTGCATTTTGTAAGGTATCGGCGTGAAGAAGCGAAACTTGTTTTGTGGAGCAAACTCACAAAATTTCAGTTCTTTAGCTATTTTGATTGTGAGTTATAAAAGTGGCATTACTACTTTACGTGTTTTCCCTGGTTAAATTGCTTGCCGACAGTGCTGATCGGTAAAAACAAAATTCTGTTCTTTCAGAGTATTTACTTTACAGAAGAAAAATATCCTGAAAAAGAAGTTTGTTCTTCTAGGATTTTTTCTGTTCCGAAGAAAGGTGTTTTGCGGACATATTTTGCTTCACTCTGTTTTGTTTTCTAAAATCACTGCAGGGAAAAAAGACATAAATGTCAGAATCTGAAAAAAACCAAACTTTAGCAGCATGATGTTGTTGAAAAAAATCAAAAATCCAAGCGATCCTGTCAATTTTGAACCTGAACATAGATCGTGCAAAGTAAACCTTAAGCAAGGATCCACCGCCGCAAAATTCGACAATGATCATGAGCGGTTCTTTCTGGCATGCGACACCAATCAGTTGCACTACGTTTTCGTGTTTATACTCTCTCATTACTTTTGCTTCCTGTACTCAAATGCCAAGGTTAACATTTATCTGAGTTTTTGAAGAATTAGCCAAATGAAACAAAAATGATTCCAGTATGATGAACTGATTCAAATAATGTATGAATTTCCCCAGAAAAATGGTACATGGTACCTAAACAACTCATGTATAATATTTAAATTTCGGAGCTTCTGTGCTGAAAAAGATTTAGAAAAACCTGTAAGAATGAAATTCGTTTAGCTTTATCGGTGTGTCCTACGTAAGTTTTCACAGCAACCGTTTTGTACGTGTGGCCAACTTGCAGTATTCCTTTGTAAACACATCCGAATTGACCTCTGCCTAGCTCGTCCTTCAAACGTATCCGGTCGTGAGATATTACCCAAGCCTGAAATTGCACCGCTCCTTACACTTTGTTGCTTCTTGGATATTGCAAATTACCAGAAATGCTTGCTTACTTGATTTGCTCTAAAAGAATGAAAACCTCTCGGAAAAATATTCCCAAAAAAACCCACGAAAAGAGCTTGTGTGTTGGTAATAAAATACTCAGGCTCTTTGCTACCTTACTTGCAAATCTGCATAATAATTAAGCTTAGAAAAGCTTAAACATAGCAAATATTAGCATTCATCGGACCGTACACGATGCGTAGGAAAGTTAAGCACGAAACTGACTGGGTGCGGTACTGGTCGTTTGACCACAATGGGTAACGTCTTGTGCAATGGCTTTCGTGTTCGAACATAATGGTCAACCATTTCGGATACTTTTCGAAAACATTTTTCATTGACGAAACAGAGATCTTTCTCGGTTAAACCAATGCTGAATGCACGTAATTCACCACTGTATCGCACCACCCATACAACGGACTGCAAAAAAACTATAGAGGGCATAACAAAAAATTAAAAAAAAATTACTATTTTCTGAAAAAGATTACTTTTTTTCACTGAATGTGTTTAAAATCACATTTTTGCTCCTTGTATGGTTACTGTTGAATGGTATTCATGCCGTCTCCGATTTAAGCGAAAACCAGCAGGAATTTGAAAATTCATACTGCTTGTGAAAGTAACATTGGACATCACAGCCACTACGTGAATGATTTACAGACATAAGTCTCCAATTGCTGTGTGAAGCACAAGTTCGGTGGTACATGGATTAATACATCGCATTCCAATGCGAAGACGAGTGGTTCGATTCCACCCCGGTCTCACTGTTAAAGGAACGCAGCGAAGGCAGCTAGTGCAGCCGAACAGCACACTTGGGAGGAATGGAAAAGCTGTCAACTACGATAATAATAAGAGAAATAGCGAAGCGCACCAGAATAGCCGGTACGATCATGCGTTTTGTGCAATTCCGTCCGGCAGACGTTTGCTTACTAAAAATATAACTGTTTTACACTTTCGTACATGGAAAAACAATAGATATGCGGTCTGGCTCCTATTCACGAGCCGGTACGTGAAAGCTGAATTTGAAAACATAGATGGGGAGCATCCCTCCAAATTTCAACCTTGTAGTTTTTCGGCTTTCGAGCTAGCGACTTCCACATCACAATTTTCACGTGGTCTTATGTAAGATCTCTGCATGCTTAAAAGCTAAATTTGAGTCTGTGAGATACCTGCAGCGACAGAAAATATATTCTTAAAATTTCAGCTTCCTAGCTTTCATTGTTTCTAAGACAATTTTCCGTCAAAACTTTCAGGGGGCCATACGCGATACCCAAGCACACGGGAAAACTGGATTTAAATTTTCTGGGTTATACGTGGTCAAGGAGCATATCCATAAAATTTCAGCTCCGTAGCCTCCGCTGTTCCTGAAATAATGATTTTGCCCGTTAAAAATTCACGAGGCAATGCGTGCTATCCGCAGGCACGGGAAGGTTGATTTTAAGTTCTCAGGGTCGCCCGTAAGCATAGAACATACCGTCAAAATTTCAACTTCTCAGCTTCTGTGGTTCCCGAGATAATGATTTTACCCGAAAAGGTTCTACGGTGCCGTACGTGTTACCCGCGGGTACAGGAGAGTTGAATTTGAGTTTTCTGAGTAGTACGTGGTTAGGGAGCATACCCATAAAATTTCGGTTTCCTATCTTCCGTAGTTCCCGAGATACTGATTTTACCCGAAAAAATTTACGGGGCCGTACGTGTTACCCGCGGGTACGGGATGGCTAAATTTAAATTTGCCGCTTCATCCACTGGCGGGGAAATTATTTCCCTAGACTTGCGTATTCGTATTTCTGCGTAAGCAAATACTTAAAAAAGCAGTGTCTGTGATCCATTATTACACAGTTATCAAAGGATATTAGCTTAAAACGTCATCGCAACTTTTTTTCAATTGACAGCGTGATTAACTTAAAATTTCAGCCGCCAAGCTTTTGTGGTGCCCGAGTTGAAAGTGCGAGACAAAATGTGAGACACACACACAGACAACCCCATGACAATATGCGTTTTATACTACTTTTACAAAGCACAAACTCATAAAATAGCGACACTGAA